AAATACAGAAGATCACTTCGCACCAATCGGATGTTTGCTTTGGGGTGTTTGAGATGCGCACTACTACGCACGTTCAACAACTCTCTAAGAAATTTTGTTGGTGCCGTATGAGAGAGGCTATGACATGGCACGGTGAAAGAAAGGAGGCTGCTGCGTGTTGTGCGATCTTCAAACCTTTTTGCTTGGGATCCACGCGACTGTCGTTGCGTGGCACCCAATCTGTTCCAGTTTGGGTAGGCTAATCGGGGCTGGTACAAATCCTTTTGACGGCGTAGTGTCTGAACTAAACCGTGACATAACGGTGGAGGATCAATACTGTCAAGCTGTGAAGTGAAACGACACATTAGAATTGGTTATGAGAGCGATGTAAATGAGTGAAGTGGTCGACCCACTGAATATGCTGTTCAGTGCAACGATGTTCCGGTGAGGGAGATGTCCATGGATGAGTTCAACGTAGTCCACCAAATAGCGGCAGGAAAAGGTATACGCAGTTATATTTTTGGGACCGGTATTTTGTCTTGGAGATTTAACCGCCGCAAACGGTGGCTGGTGAACTAACAACGTCTAGTTGCGAACGGGAAATGTATTGTGGAGTTGAAGTGTGCAGTGTTTGGCTGCATAAACCAACAGGTTGCCTTTATATTGCAGAATGAATAGACCGGATTCTTTGAAACGGTCGGAGGAGACGCTAAGATATAGTTGGATATGATGCACTCTGGAAAGCGATGAACGCTGAACACGCAAGCGATCAGTTTAGCTTAATTGTCCAAAGCATCCTCGGAGCACGTCCCTTCAGTTCGGTTCAATAATTTGCGAATTAGTGATTTGTCTCAGTGACAGAGTGCCACAAGAGTATTTTACTTTGCATTCACAGGGTCTTCCGGCAGACGGATATCTGAATCGGGCTGTGGACAGTTTTACAAATTTAGCGTCAGGAAATGAATATACTCTCTAATCCGGTTAGGGTTGATCGAATAGTCGAAAGTGTTTGGTACAAATGTTTAGAAGAATGCCCAGTCCGGATCCTTTGAAACTAGTATACAAATGCCCTCTATGTATTGCTGCATGCATTTGTTCATGTCCATACTTACCTGTGGAAGTATCACTGTGCGAAGGATCAAGAATAGCCTATGGCAGCTGTTTTATGGCTTATCCCATTGGGTAGGATGCGAAACTGCAGACCGAAGGTCCGTCTTTCTAACCCAATCCTGGCTTTTCCATTGCTTCAGTTTAGGCTTAAACTTATGCCTTTGATGAGGTAAATGGTACATTTCGGAATTCACACTAAGTTCTTTGTTCACCTCCATTCAAAACTGCAATAAAGACTAATACCAAGATTATACAGCCTTCCTAAACACAGGAAAGACTTTTATTGCGCAATCGAGGAGTGGTTCCGTGAGATACAACTAGTGCGCCAATCGTCATCTGAAAGTGTTTTAGAGGGCACCTCGCAGACTTCCAGTATCGATTCAGCAATGTGGCTTAGCTACAGCTGAGACAGTTTCAAAGCGATTGTGAAATCAAGCACTATGCTGTCAACAACGATTTGCACTACCTCTGGGTCATGTGATACATCGCTCCAGCTAGTTGATCAAAGGCCCTCTAGAACAATTTAATACCAGTAGGTTATCCATCTCTGCCTCCCTTCATAGTTCGTCGCAATTTTAACCGTTGGATGCGTGTGGATATGATGATGAGATCCCAAAAATTATTATTCGTCATGGTATTTGGGGATCGATATGGTGGAAACGTGAGACTCAAACAAATCTTCCGTTGTTGATATTCATCACTTACACAGAATTAACCTGATCTCTCAGTTCTGACAAAATTTCTGCCCTCGGATTATTTTGCCCTGCTACGATACTGCTTATTAGGCTGAAACTTCGACAGGCCACTACAAGTTTCACCGTTTTGGGGCTCATTAAGTAGGCAAAGGCCACCAGTTCCTATCTTCGTAAGCGAAAATCGGATTGAATGTGCATGGACGGGATTTCCTTCCGCAAATCAAGATAATGCCAATACGGAACTCAAACTAATTCCCCTGTCACAAGCCTCACATTAATGCAACCTGGTTTACAAATGAGCCTTCAGAAGCACGTCTTTATTATGGTGTTCAGTTAGGTGACTCATCATCAATTCAGTCAATATCGTCCTCATCGTCTTGTATTGTGGCACATGGGACCATGCGTAATTGCGAGTGAACTGCGTCTGGTTGGCGCAAGCTATGACAGGGACTAATCCCGAAGCACGGCCTAAAATAGATTGAGTTGGTGTAACAGTATCAGCGGAAGATAACCAAGGGACTCACTAGAGTCTAAAATTCTTCACAGGAAGACAGACTTCAGGGGCCAAAGCTTTATGTACTGAGGTGTCTTCTGAGAAACAAAGGTTAACCTCCATTAGGCTCGGTGGATTTTCGAGGATCTATGGGTGGCTTAGGGATAAGAAGGACAGAGCCCTTAACCGAAACCAAACAGCTTCGTTGCGTGTATAGTGAAAAAAACAAGTGAAGTGCCGTGAGAACCAATTCAATTCTCGTAGGCAGATATCTATACCAGCCCTTCGTGTCATTTATAAGTTTATGCTTAATTTCCTGTACTCCGCCGATGGTTTGTTCACAGATGAAGGACCTTTATTTCGCTTTTTCAGTGGTTAAATAAGCCTTGAGTTCGTTGGTAGTATGAATGAAGGCCTTGACCTGGTCCACAGACAGTGTGGTTGGTAGCCAATAGCCTACCATATAGCTGCGTGCTTCGTACTGGGCACTGCCTCTGAGCACTGTTCATGCAGCCCCGTAAGAGCGTTCAGTTCACAGATGCAATGAACTCACTCTTTTAGGCAGATGATCCTCAAACGTACGAACTGGCTCAACGAACGTAACTCAAGAGTGTGGTTGGCCCTTAGATCAGGACAAGGTCTTCCAAGTTTCCAGCGTACTATTGACCTGACTTTCTAAACTGGCATAGTCAGTGTTTTGGGAAACCACGAACTAAATTTCAGAGGTTTTCAGTATCTTCCGGACGTACCAACTAGACTCTGATTCGCACCACTAAAAACTACCCTCAAACTTACCTGCTATTCGTAAAATTCCTACTTCCTTATGTGAATCTAGAGATTTCATCTTTCACCAGAGCTATGCAGCTGTCCATACAAATGAGTTTGTCCACTGCCCAAATTAACTCATCCGACTTCACCCAGTCTTGTTGTATTTTCACTTCATGAAAATGTGATGTATGCCAAAACGAGCGGCCGAACTGGTACTTCGAAAAGCACTGATCCAAGAACACTGATGCCTGCAAACTTGATAGCTGTAAGTGCAGACCTAAAAGCATTTCGATACCTGAAGTGTCAGGAGCGGGTAAGAGGAATTCGAGTGCCACATCACTAACAAGGTTGAATGTCAACTGCTCGACACCACCGGCTGTAAGGAACTCCGTACACTCCGTACTCCCGTACACAACATCCCGTACACATAGTTCGGAGTCACAGCATACGACAACTGGAAGATATACCACTTGTCCAAATGGACGGAGCATGGATTGTAAATACTGCAATGCGTGGCAGAAACTTAATTGCGCAGCATGTTGTCTTAGTTGTGATGACAGGGTTAATAAGCGAAGAGCTTTAGGTTACAAAAAACGTATTGCTTCAAGTTTTACACTCCGGGCCTTCGGTTCAAAAGTCTGTGTGGAATAAAAGATATTTTACTCCTACTGGTGGTAGCTCGTGCTTCCCGAACTTTGCGACTGTATTCGCACGAAAGAGTCAATAATTGCTCATTTCCAATGGTGACGGAATTCAGCTTGACTAATTAAACTCGATCTGCAGTACAGGTGACGAGTGAAGTTTAGATGCAATGACAACGAAGTTTCAATTTTGCAAAACAGACCTCCGATAGCGAATACCTCAGCAGAGTGGAGCTGGTTCACAAAATTCCAAGATAACAATTATGAGGCCAACATTATCCTACGGAACGCAGTCCGAAAAATAACTACAACAGTTAATGAAAACGGAGGAAACAACCCTGGTCAACGCACCCGTTGTCTCTGGTCCCTCACTCAAACTGAGATTTTTGTCATGGAACCTTTGACTAGTTTTCGTTAGTTGGCCAATGACAAACTCACTAAAAGCATCACTACCAAAAGGCACTTAGATGAATAGCTTCGTTTTTGGCCGTCAGACGCATGTTCCAGTCAACAAACTTACCAGGATAACCATTATGTTCAGTGATCGCTTATAAAGTAACAACCCTGAAGATTTTGATCGGCTCAGGATATCCACTTCGCAAACAGCACCCGTCAATCCGGCAAGTTAAAGGCAGAGGACATAGAGCTCTGATTCTCAGGCTTATACGTAGAGCGGGTTACACTGAAATAAAGCGACTGTAGTTAGACATTTATACAGCCGGGTTGATCAGTGAAGATATCGTCGCCATATCCGTAGTAAATGTTACACCGGCAGTGCGCAATCCTTTTACTGTTTTTGGTTAGCTAGCATCATTTTGGAAAGTACGTGCGAATTCTAAGACAGGGATAAAATATAGCTATCCTAAGAACGGTATTACAGAAATAGACGAGGAGATGAATTGTGAATACGATACACAGCATTAGTCCAGCTAATTTGAGTAACAGCACAACGAGAGATCCACTAGATAGCGAAACGAGAGTAGAATGGTAAGAGGAAACTTCGAAAAAATGTGGTCGAGTGCACAAACTGCGTACTCACCTCATTTAAGGCCAGGCCTGAGTACCTGATAGTACGTGAATGTACATACCAAGATGTTTGCACCTAAATGACCCCGGCCGAAGCCTATTCAAATATTACAAATCTAGATATAGCTGCCTGATCCGGTTCTCCAAGACCTGGTTCAAGTATTGCGCATGTTAGGTCGTCTCTAATGTTCGTCCCCACCTATTTATTAATTTATAACGTATTTAGAACAACGAAATCAAATGTGTGAAACAAAGCTCCGAGTAAGCTAGAGAGAGAAGACTCAAACGATGTGATCTGTGTTCGTTCATATTCGATAAAAATAACTATACACAAGGAAATGGCGCAGTGTTTTCGAATAGATGAAGTTCGCAGAACCGACAGGTTTGAGAAAACCTGAGGAGAGAAAGGAGTCCATAGAGATGATTACAAAACTCATCTCACTTTGTTGACAGGATCAGGTCAACCGGTGGGTCGAGAAAAGGAGTATCACAGGTGTGTAAAGAAAATGAATACAAGAAGGAGATTAGGGTTAACATTATGTCAGACGTAGTTCTGCGATGGATGTGTGCACCAAAAGGTGGGTGCGGAAAACACTGACCTGGATACTGAACTTCACAGCCGGTAGAAGTATTAGCCACAAAAGATGGGTTATATAGAAGCTCTGAAAAGGTAGACATAATCGGTCAGCTGTCACAGTGTATTGGTTAATTGAGCAAATACAGGGCAGGCTTAGTAGGAAAAATAGGACATGAGTTTCCCATTTGGAAAGCTCATCGACCAACCGAGGAAGCAACTTCTAGTAAGGCAGGATGTCGTTCGAGTATTCGAGTTATAAGGGTGTCAATGTATTGTCGGAGTTGCTGGTTGGCATGCTTTTCCTTGGTCCAAAGTTCAACAACCTGCAGCAACAAAGAGGAAACGATAACGAATGAACAACCGTTTGACAGCAGTGCTCTGAACAGCAACATGCTACAGGCAAGAACAAATCTAACAACAACATGAAGGAGGAAATTGCAGAAGTTCTAAGAATATTACCAATAGAACCATGCTGCTATCCCTAGATCCTCTTCCAAGTACAAAGCGTCTTTGCCAGGATACACTTCAGGCCTAGGCTCTATCAGTATGGCAAATATGGGAGCTGAACTTTCTCCGGGTGGAATCTTACTGTTGGCTGTAATACAGCGAGCTGCAAGGTGTTGACGTTGGTGACTATTGCGTCCTACTCTCTTGGGAGCATGAGTCGCCCCAAAATGCGATAAGTCGGCTCAAAGACACCCCAGTGAGCATGACCGACATCATTGTCTAGCCCCTTGTTTATTCATCAGACGTGCTACCACAATTCCTGGGAACAGATGCAAGATGCGGTCAAAAGTACGTCCAAGTGTAACATCCTCATGCCTGTTGCAAAGTCAACAAACCGATCTTCGCAACGTCCACGGTTAAATACAACAGATAAGAGGAGGTTGAAAAGGTGAACTTTATATTTCACTCCGCTGTCCAAACGCCCATCTCCATCATCAACTACCGACTGCTCATTACAGAAAGCAATCTCTGGGCTGTAAGTAGGGTGCTCTCAAACAAAAGGAATCAGGGGAGAATGACCCCAATTCTCTGCGTTAGAATGGTAGACTGGTGAAAATCTACGGAGTCTGTTGGCCACTAATGGCCGAGCCAGTCACAAACAATTTCTATGCATTCCCCGAGGACCGAAAGGCCAAAAATGGTGATAAATTGGTGGCCGCGAACAAGCGGGAACCGTCCTTTGCTACACTGTTTCTGCGTTGCTTCAAAGAAGCTAGTCCCAAGTTAGGTTAAATAAGAAACATTTCAAAACGGGAAGAGATAACACTGACTGACTACACACGCTAGACCGCACTTGTGAACACACGGTCCCACAAACTTACCTACTTTACGGCGACTCGCTCCCATGACACGATGAGTCGACGTACTGTACTGTTGCTAACCACGAAAATCACCAAACGCCTTAGCGAGGTGTGGGTGTGTTTTGGGAAACGAGTAAGGTTGCCCTCTACACCCCAGTGGATGCTACTAACAGACCTGCTACCAGGTAGTCCTATTTGCCGTCTTCCAATGGGGGTTGTTTCCCTAAGGTGAAGAGGAGGAAGCGAATGTCGAGTGCCTGGCCGACGGCCCACTGACTGTCCACCAATGCTCCTTGGAATAAACGCAAGGACGATATTATCCTTCGTAAGCACGCATGTCCAAAGAGACATGAATATTGACTATTAATTTAGGTACCTTAGGTTCATCATCCACGTAAATACAAGCACGGCAAGAGATAGGCATCCACGTCTAAGTTGTGGGTACAATGATATATAACCCTGAGACCCCGTTGCTGCCGGTTGTAGTCCTTCGTGGACTCCAACCAGTGGTTCTTTGGAGCGACGGAGTACCTAGTGAATGTGCCGAAAGATGCTACTAAATTCCTCTAAATTGATCCAGTGTCACCAACTGTGGTGGTCCGGATAGTCCATACAGAAAAATTCCAAAATGTCCCAGCCGCCCCTTTCGCTCCTCAGAATGTCACTGACAGACTGGATGATAAACGGAAGCCTGATCCTCAACCGCTTTTAGACTTCCACCTCGCCAACAGAATCAAGCAATGGAACGAACACTAAGTAATGCTAATCATGGGCCTTAGTGTCGATCGTTGCTCACGAGTACCAATTATCCAAAAAACCTACGTCTATTCATTTCTTCTTACCGTAGAAAATCTTATAGAAACCTTTGGCGTTCTGAGCCAATTTCGGGCCTATCGCCTTAGAAAAGCTACTACATTTCTTAATGGTATGAACTGAGCCATAGTCATACTGTTTAAAGTTGAAAGCAATAGGTGTTACTCTTGGTCAACTCAAAAGTAATATCGGTGAATTAACAAAAATCTACGAATCCACATGGAAAATAAAGCCAGACAGCAAAGAGATATCGATCACCAAGAGGCTCGTGCTGGGAGGTTAAGTGACCCGATACCAGCCACGTAGCATTACGTCCGCTTTTCATTGGTCATGTTATATACTATCATCCGACTCTCGAAAATACTTTGCCTTTGAACTTATGATCTTTTATCTTTAGACTTCGTATGCATGACATCACATTCCACTTAAACTGTCAGAAGTCTCTGACTGCTGCTTCTCTGTAGGATGTCGGTAAACGCAAGCCCGGAAGCCTCAATGCCATCCCATCTCCAACCATTGGGATCCTAAACCTTCCGCTCAGGCCTGACCTCCGCTTTTCCATCTCAATCCTCTAGTATGATATAAAGCCAGATGTCTCTTTCGATTTCTTTTAGCCCGAAATCTTTTGGAAAAGCTCGCTGACTTCAAATAATGCGTCGTTGGTTTTACGTGTGATTGTTCCTTTTTGTGCACGGTGTGTTTCACGGAAGGTTCTCCCAATTTCATAAAACGATAAACGATGGACAAACGGTACTACCGTTGTTTTTAATACTTTTGTCCACTAGATAGCAATTTTCCACTTCTGTACTACGAAAATTAGCATACCTCCCGTTCTCACTGCTGTTAGCCTCGCTAACAATCTCGGCGACAGTACTTCTAACTTGTGATTACTTGACCAATCGCACTGCAGTCCTAATGTACTGGTGACCATATCTACCAGAATCTGTACGTAAACAGTTAGGTCTGGTCGTTTTGCAGCCGTGATTTTTGCTTTATCAGGGTAGAAATACTCTTGCGATTTCGACGTTTGAATGAAACTGGTACGGAAAGTTTGCATGAGCAGACGATGGAGCGAAGGTGCGCAAGAGAAGCGTGGAACAGAATTCCAGATTCACTGCACCAGCCGTGATCACCAAGCAGTGTAAGCCACAATGGATGCCAAACCCCTAGTTTAGACAGCGCCTGATGACAGTAGTTACCAAGGTAAGGCATGCAGTGCCCACTTTGAAGTACATCGGAAAGGACTCGAGCGGTAGTTTCCGTGCGGAGGTCGATCTTTATTCGCAGAACTTTACGGAAGAGACCATGTTGAGCACGGCTTATTTAAACCGTACGCTGTGTGAGGGCTGTTCAGGATCATGTAGTAAACAAGGGTTTAAGTATTTTTCCTCACGTATAACGTTCCCACATGAGACTAATTTCATTATAATGCTGGCAATGGTGTTTTTACTAGCCACATACTGAGGTTGAAAGTGATGAGACAAAAGGGCATAAACTCGCATTTTGGAGGTGATTAGTATAGTCTAGAGGACACGGTATCAGACTTCAGATCAAACAAAATGAAAAGGCGTTAGATAGGTCACGAATTGCCGACGGGTGGAAAAAATTCTCACGTAACGAATCCAAGCCATAAATTTGATGGTAAGGCCCTTCAAAAAGGCATTAAACACATTGCATGCTTGACTAACGATGATTCAAGTTCGGAGGTTTAGAAACATCGATTCAGCACAAACCTTTGAAGGCGATGCGATACTCTCGTACGATCAAACTACACGCTGTCATTATAGAACAACATCAAGCAATATTTCGGGCGCCGAGGGGAAAGCACACTAACCCTCAGCTACATGACGACATATAGCAGGCAAAATAAACTAGTCTCAGGACATAAATACACAGCGCCACAACGGCGAATGATGAGTGGTAACGCCGTGTTAACTCACAGAATCTTCCGGCTGCTAAGTACACCAACAAAGATAAACGATTCATCGTAAGAGGGTGGTGTCGACTGTCCTTCTTCTATACGTTGTTTGGATGACGTAACCCAAACGAAACTATTGTATTCTAAGTGGATAGTCTACAGTCTCGTAGACCAGTAGTGGAGAAACTAGGTGTGCTGTACCAACCAACAGAAACAATATGAAAACGATAAATAAAGGAATCCCACAGGGGAAACGTCTTTATAGAACAAGTGATTGTAAATTTTTCATCTATTTCCTATATCCGTGATTCCATGAGTGGTCACGAGAGCTCGGAATATGTAATGTGCAAGACCGCAAAGAAGTGCTATGTGTCGGCATGTTGGAACACATATAACTCACCTCTTCTTTAGTCATTGTATCGATTTCGGAGGCCCAGCTCTTTTCGGTTGGTTTGAGCAAGCTTCGGCCTTGATCCAGGGACAACGCAACAAGTTGGTCTTGGAGATCTTGCACTTCACGTCGCAACTCCTTATTCTCTGTAATCATTCGTCGTACAACTTCCTGGGATTCTTGATATCTGATCAGAAGATCGGACCCACTGGCGACTGTATTGGCAACCGGAGACCCGGGGCTAGTACGGCTACGGCGGCGGTCTCCTAGGGAGTTGTTCATTTCTTCAAGCACCTGCAAGGCACATACGGATTCACGGTAAAACACGGCTCTTAATACATGACTCAGGGTTCACAGATTGTTCCGCGAACTTAAGCGAGGTGAAGCTGAATAAGTGAACAGCAAATTTGCCGAACAAAAATCCAACACGAACCACAGCAGAGACTGACAACGCACACCATATACATCCTATCCAAACGAAAAACAAACATTCGAGCTGACACCGCATGACATACTTACATGGACGGCATGGTCCCGATCTCGACGAAGAACTTCCATCTGTTGATTGTAGGTCTCCTCCATCTCTTTCATTTCCTCTTTCAAAGACTCAATGCGTTCATGGGCTTCAGCAAGATCTTCGGATTTTTTTCGCTGGGTCTAAAGATCAAGATTTGACACAAAATAGGAGAAGCACACGTATAAGTGACGAAAGATGGTGGTCCAAAACACCAAACAGGCCTAATACTAGTTACCAAGAAGAAACATCTTTCTGTGAAAATGCTCCTATTGCAAAGAACACTATGATCACTTCGTTCGGCTGCTCGGATTTCGGATACAGTAGAATTTCAAGGAACGCGTTTAAGCCAGCGCAGCCCGCAGAAACACGACAGCGGTCTAGTCCGATCATGTCCTTTACGTGCATATCTTGGTCCGGCCTCGTTATTTCTCACACGTATTGCAAATAGTTACACAGTAGTAGGATCTGTTCGTCACAATTGTATTTTGTGTTGCGGCATGGGTGATTTTGAGATAACTCTGCGCGAAATGGGATGCATCTCGCAAAGAACGGCCGCGAGATCGATGAATGTTCACTGAGTGACAAGTCGCCGCAGACTACTGCCAAATGTATTCGAGACCATAAGGGGATTTCGAGATACATACTAAAATGCCGAACAGCGCGTGATCGGTAGCACACATCAGATAAATAAAACGCTAACTACTAGTCGTAAGTTATAAAGCCGAAAGAACAAAGTAATTGAGAAACGAGAAAATTCGAGCCTCACCGCAACTGAGGCTTGTTTGTCGGCTTGGATTTTGAGCGACTCCAGTCGCAATGTATTGCATTCCGATTCCAATACTTTTATGCGACTCCGAAGACTCTCCACTTCTAATGAATGGTCACGCTCGTTTCGTGTCTGTCGGAAAAAGAGAAAATACGACACGAGTGAAACAGAGTCTGCGAAATCGCCTAAATGATCATCATGCGGTCTTTCATTATTATTAAAGTACAACTATATATGTATTTGGATTTACAACAGAATCAACCTTCTCAGTACGCTGATATTTAAGGACAACGAAGAGTCCAAATATGCGAAAATACGTTGGTGGTAATTGTGCCCGTTTCCTCTCGAACTACATCTACATTTGTATGGACTTCTGAATAACCACGGTAAAAAAAATTAGGCACAATTTTCCCACGATTCAACATCAAAACAATGTCTAACAAGAGCGTTAAGACACCAGTAGGGCGCCCCTTGAATGCTATTCATACCACAAGTACACTATTTGCTGACACGAATCGGTGAGAACACGTGTTTTTGGATAATAATTAAATGAGGAACGAACTTCACACATGTCACTCAAAATCCGCATGAAAGCGACAAACATCGTCCGCGTTCACTGTTTGAGCTGGTTTACTTTTGAAGAACACGGACAAAGTATTTGACAGCAGCGGGTTCGGTTGCGGAAAACATCCAGCATCATAAGCTGCGATAGCCTGGTACCGTGAATAGTCTAACAAGATAGTGTTGTTCCTCATGCTCTAAGCAGACTGACGCGAATTAGGCAGTGGTTAAAGTGCGGTTTCGTCGAATATTCTGAGAGTGATAACGAACTGTTGTTGCTGTTTACTTTCCAGAACGAGTTCTACGTCACGCTTTCTGGGCTAGGATGGAGATTTACGAGGTGTCACAACTAATGGACATTCCTGAATTTGTTTTCCGAGTACGCACTCATGAATAACCATACATGCGATAATCTCACTGTCGCTAATCCATTATTCACCTGGTCGGAATGTAGAAAAGGCCATCTACACACAGATAGAGCGGCCGTTCCTCTTGAGCGTCGTAACATCTATTTCACGCGCAGAACTAGCTGTATTTTTGTTAAGTACCATAAAATATAATGAAAAAAATTAGGTAATTTTAAAAAGCGGTGGATGCTAAATCGAGAGAGAGTGCAACGACTGGGGTTTTGCGATATACAAGCCTTTATTACCCACCTATCAAGACATTTAAAGATTCCTAGCAAAACATCCTGAATCATTCAATGACAACCTGCGAGATTACTGAGGCGTCTAAAGCTGATAGATCTTGTGGGATAGTAGGCAAATATTAGCCTATATGACCCACAACAGATGACAAGTTCATAGTATTGAATTGCAGGTGATGGTCTGGAAATCGAGCTTGCCTGCACGTGAGAAAAACACTGAGGCATAGAGATGCGAAGGCAGCAGCTTATGTAAGCCAGTTTAGATCAAATCGCCTGGGCTGCTCTTTCCGTAGAAGTCAACCTGTCTAAGTCAGTCTATTCAATCAGCGATGTCTTAATGAAAGCTGGTTAGAACGATGAACAGACTATTTTTTACCAGCCACTACGAAGTGTCTCGCTTCGCCAGAATAGCTGGCCCCATGCAAACCGCCTATCTATACTATAATGGGTGATTCATGTTGCGTATTTTCATTTTAGCACAGTATACCTTATCATTGCTTCAGTTTTAGAGAACACGAATGAGTGAAGAAATCATTACTGCAGGATTATACATTCATTCGATGTCCTATAGAGACATCCCGCTTGTAATATAAATTTGCACAGTCGTAGATCTCAAAATGCTTCCTTACACAACGCTTCTCAGTCAGGGTGAAAGCCGTCAATTTTGACGATTAAAACAGTTCGAGTAGCTGAAGATATCCGAGTCCTGGATCTAGAAGGAGAGCCGAAGATGTCGCAAAAAGACGCTCACAGGCTCCTTCGAAAATGCAAATAGTTTTAGGCGATCTCACTCAGATGTCAGACACACCTGCAGCGAAGGAAAGAATATACCTAGGTGAAAAAAATGAGCAATCAACGGAGAACGTCGCATGGCAGTGCTTTAGGTCATTCTCGTGGAATGTAAACGACAAATCCACTATTGATGTAGACCGTTACGTTGGTTACAGTAATGGAAAAAAGGTCACCAAATGAATTAAAATAAGTGTAGAGTTGTTGTGATGTAGTTTTCACTAACGTACAGTTGAATTACATTGCATGTCCCATTGGCACACTCCCGAAAAAAAGATGCCTCACTGGCTCGAGTCTTATGTAGCTCAGTAAGCACAACCATAACAAGAAATGCGTTGGATCGTTAAGATCTGGAGGGAAGGAGCAGACGCACCTAACAGAAGATTAGTGTGAGGTATCACCGCTGGACAAGTTAAATTTCGTGTACAACGACACGATCTTCCCCTAACAGGAAACTGAAGTTTCCCTCAGCGTTGTGATCAAAACTGATTACTCCCCATAACAATGATCACATCGGACCATCACCGTCAACAAAAACATTGAAAACATGCCGGTTCCGACCGTTATCTCTGTAGTTGACCCAAGTGGTAACACTTGCAACTCATTTGGGAGAAGCTGGAAGATAAGCTGGGCAACCAAAGCAGCCTGTTTCGGAATCCATTCGGTACGGCTGGATTGGAATTTCAAGAAACATTGTCAATAATTATCACACTTTTGCTACCAATCGACGTCTTGGATTATGGTGACCAACGCATTAGAACTTAGAGAGTAGCTATTGGGAAAGGGCCCTGTCGCCGTGACACAAGTCCCACTATATTCTGTTTCCTACTAGATGGACCGGATTAACCTCATAGTGAAATGCAGTTAACAGTTATCTTAAAAGGTACCCATAATGTATCAGGGGCCACGCCCAAATCAAAGATACGGTAGAACAAAAGTACAACAAATAAACTTCCACACGAGTGGGTTACCGTAGTGTATGTCATGGTTGAGTGCAAAACTAACGACAATCCGGTCAGAGTTTTTAGCATCGTTGGATAGAAACTCAACAGAAATATGACGTGTCCGATACAGCTGGATTTTACCCAGATTTACATTCAGACAGGTGGGTAGGATAGTACGGTACTCAGAATAGTTCGTCTATGACCGCTAAACTGATGTTGTATGGGGAAAGGAAATAGACTGAAATGAAAAGATCAGCTGAACTAAATCAACCGCATTTTCCTGAATCATTAATTGATATCAAAAAGACTAAAAGACAGTCCCTTTCCCAGAGGCATATGTAAGGATGTGTGGACAAATGAGACTGCACTGGTGCCGAAAGTGAAACTTACGATGACAGACTGCAGGTGTTGTCGCTCGGCTTCAACGTTTCGCAATTCACGAGCTTCCGCTTCCTTGAGACGCCCTTCCCGGATGGTAATCGTAATCTGTGCAGAGAAACGTGCATTTTCCTCACGCAGGCGATTGATTCGAGACTCGTCTCCGTTTGACCTGGTGCTGCTAATGTTTTCCACTTGTGCTTCCATGCGTTTCATTCGATCCTGTGAAGAGCAAGTGGTCGAAAGAAAGCAGAACTTATTATCGACTCGGTTAAATCAACGTTTCGTTAGATACGAACCAACAACTTAAGTATATAGCAGGTGCAAGTAGGTTGAAAGACAATAGTATGGTTATCAAGCCAAAATTCGAACTACTTACGCCAAACCGACGGGTTGTAGGCAGGTGCTATGCAGTTACGGAAAAGTAATATCTTAGGACACTAGGAACGCTATATTTGCTCTTCCTGGCTCCAGTCAGAAAGGTACGCCTGAACATGCGCGTTTCAGAAATAATGAAAATTGCCATACTGAACCAGTACTGTGTGAGTCAAAGAAAACACACTACAGATCAGGCGAGTGTGATACACGAGACGTCTTTTAGTCAAATCATAACCGACGCACCGTGCATCCAGTGCAGTGAGTGCAATCAGCCTTCTGCTATTTCGACGACGTCTGTCCTTATTTTATCCGGTGAAGACGCATTAATGGCTCTAATGGAGTCATCTACTGACTCCCATGATAGATTACAACCGTCGACAGGTGCACGGATTTTCATGAATCTATGTGGACTGTGCGCAAACTGTAGGAGTTAGGTCCGGCACAATCGCTACTAAAAATCATTCCCGATCACCTCTTCATCGATACGTAACAACAAAAATCACACAATGAGACGAAGTGCAACCACAAATATTCTTCAAGGCACGACAACGTGAAGACTGTTGTAGACCTCTAATGCGTGTTCCTGTGCTTGAACTGTAGTTTTATATCGTACTGAAAAATATTCGACTCAGTACGCAAGAACTCACGTGAAGCAGCTCAAAATTGGATTCAACATCCCCCAGAATGTCTGACCTCGAAGCGCTACCGGGTGATTCAGTGCTATGTAAGTGCGGTCCTCCCCTAAAGGGACAAAGTCAAATGTGGCATGCTGATTATGGTAGGTGTTCATGAAAAAAGGCGCGGAAAACTGACAGCCAAACGAAGCGCGCATTATTACGTTCCAGTCTGATGTTTTGCGGAATTTGAACAAAGGGACGGAAAAAACAACAGAAAGGTACCGAGTAAAAATGTGAAAGAAGTGGTGCATGTCAGATCGGCACCAGTAACAATAAAATCATGTCTATCAAGATATCCCATTCTTGAAACGACATAGTCGTTGTGCTCTAGTCTGGAATTTAAAAAAATATACCCCCTTCCTCAGTCTACGCCCATTCAAACTGTGGCCCCAGCACCCACTTACGGCGAGCGCGGGCTATCACTCGGGAATCTATAGTTCGAAAACAATCCTGGCTTGTTTAGTGCTCCCGATAGGGTTTGGACGACTTGGCGGTATCTTAACTTTGGTGGCTCCCTTGGGTAGCATGGATTGTAGCGAGGATGAAGCCATGGTTAAAAAACTAGCAATAAACTGTTCACCCCATAGATTATGGGGAATGGAGCAGAGGGTTAAAACTTAGTTTCATTAATCAATAGAATGGACCGTCTTGGGGCCTAACTCATTGAGTTGCTCTCTACTAGGAGGAAAGGGAAGAGAAATCTCATATCAGCTCAAAATATAATTTTTTCCCAGATCCCTCGGCAATATTTAAGCCAGGAAATGACAACCGCCTGTCAAGTAAACTACGTGTTGCAACTTGCTTGGACCCCATCTTCCACTAAAGATCGTAAATTGATAGATGTAACCGACGTAGAAAATTGTACTGAAATGACAGTCAAACCAAAATATTTCGGGGTTGAGTTTGTTTGGTAGATCGTGCACTGAAAGTTAGGCATGGAAACGACGCAGTGAAATAAGGTCAGGTAGCCGAATCCAATAGGATTATCCGGCTCTGCGTGCCGAAAATCCCCGTCCAAAAAGATGAATACCAATTTAGTGGACATATTGAAGATTATAGCTGAGGCAGGAGAAGTGCAGAAGAGAGGTATCGATGCCAGTCGATGGACATGCATTTATAAACAAATCTTGGCCAACCAGAACTGCCAATAAAAACAGTCTACTTAAACAAAGAAGTGAAGTCAGCAGCCACAAATAGTATGGTTTGCGCAGCAAACAAGCTCCAGAATATGTATTAAGCGGCATTCCCAAACGGTCAGTAATTACAAAATATTCGGGAGGTTGGTCGTCACGAAAATATTAATGCACCTAGGTTACGGACAGCTCAGAAAACCCTGCATCGCAAAGCGTGAGAAAACGCCAAATGCCAAACGCTAAAAGATCATAAATTTCTACCTTTCATTCAAGGTAAGTCTATATAGGATCGACTTTCGGTTTCGGTGAAACCTAAAACGAGGAGCCGTTACAAGAAGCAATCATGTTACAATCAGGTTGAACAACGAAACTTTCATGGGTTAGAGGGAGTCCCGATAGAGTCAAAACGAAAAGTCTATTGAACGAGTTAGCGTTTTTTGCTTGCTTAAACCATTTCGAAGGTAATCAACTAACAGTATAACCTAGATTGAACAAGACTGGAAGGACCGCATGATATACGCCCAAATTCAGACACGGCGCACGGTAACTTATTTGCTGGCATGCCATTGTCTACGTTGCCAGGGCAACCAACAGACTTAGCAATAGTTCGATTGCACGGTGCACACGTGCTAAGCAATTACAAAGCTCAGTGGGCTTGAGAGTTCATAAATAGATTGACTGCATAAAAAAGAAAGATCGCACACGAAGCAGGTAGAACGAACGTTGACAATGACTGTGAAATAACCCAACCCCTAACGAGATTTGACAGATCGACTATTGTTAATAAACAGTTGTGGAATGTCTAACCGCGCCAACTGAACACTAAATCAAACTGGTTGGTTTTATAGGTTTTTTTAAGGCTCTTCTAAAAGATCCTAGTCCGCGAAACTACTAATCAAACGGTTGGTTTAAAAGGTTTTTTTAAGGCTCTTCTAAAAGATCCTAGTCCGCGAAACTACTTCGTTTGCTTAGTGCTTGAAATTCTTCAGTGCCATTTCACTCCGACGGAAGCCGATCTGGATAAAATATAACCTCGGAAGCACAGGGAATCTGATCAAATGTGTTCCGGCAATTGGAGTTAAAGTTGAACACGACCATGTTGGCTACCAAGAGACGACTATTTACTATCCTGCAGAGGCCAAGTACAAACCATGTTGAATACTGGCCACCAACATAACATGCTTCAGAATGTACAGTCTCTGAACACATCCCATACAATTCAAGGATTATCATTAGAGGTTGTGGGAGATTTTGCACACTTCGATAGTTGTATCAGCTCTGGGAAAACTGTGTCCGATGCGATTAGTGCACAAAGTTCAAAGGCCCTAATCATTTTGCTAATGGTTGTACAGCGGGCCCTTGAATCGCGCAAAGCATCCAGCGTCACCAACGACAGTGGTGTGGCCACGTTCTACGCATGCCGAAACATCGCATATGTAGATGAGTGTTTTTCTCCATGCCCCCTTCAGAATAACGCGAACCGCGATGTGAACGACGCATGAATTGGTGGATGGGTGTAAAACAGGTTATGAAGAGTTTAGGTGTCGATGGCGCGGATCGCCTTCCAGGATGGGGTCCCCGGTAATCATCTAGATGGCGGCTGGTCGATGTCAGTGACGTTCATACTGTCAGTTTCTTTCCAGATAGTCTGATTGAGCGCTTTGAAATGTGGGTACCTCAAAATGCTTGTGATGGGCCAACACCGGGTGCACTCCCTTATCCACTCCTTTATCGGTTCCCTAAAGATCACTTGATGTGACGTAACAAAACTACAGGCAATCTAGTTTTCAAGCATAACCAATACGGTTAAACGAAAAAGGCCTAGTTCGGAAAACCTATGGGGACAGCGTAATTGTGAGATAGCACTTTGCGCACTGTCTACAGTCACAAAAGGGGAAAAGGGTAATCACAGAAATAGGACCACCAAATTCACTACGCCCGAAAGTGAAGTTGTAAGCGGTCAAAAGTGAAACAACCCAAATGCTGTATTTGATGCCATTTGAGGGGACGAACTAGATGTGAAAATGTCTCCCCCTAAACGAACAAACAATAAAACCTATGTGGCGATTTTCGCTGGGGGTATATATAAAACACAGGATGGTTGTGATCGGTGAGCTTGATGGATGGCTTGCAAACGTTCGGTCAGCAATCTAGCAGACATCGTTATTGTGCCATCAAATGGGTATATCCAATCATCTTTATTGAACTGATTAGTTTTGAAAAGATATATTGTAGCTATAAGATGAGCTGTTAATTGTAAGACAGATTAAGCGCCATCTAAATGGTTCCTCATTGTAGTCTTTCAGCACTAAATTTGAATGACCCATCTGTAAGGTACATTGTGTTCTGGTTCGTCTTCCTTGTGTTTCACTAATACTTACGGTTGTGAGTTTTCTCGTTCTTTAGAACATGATAGACTAGGCCAATTTCAATATGTTTGTTGATGACTTTCCGGAAGAGGAATGCGTCTACACGTATTCAGGTGTTTTGGTGTGTGCTCCTTCGGCTATTATGTAGATGCCACTCCAGCTGAACTTATATTTTCCCTGACCTTTGGGCATACGTAAGAGTGGGAATTGAGGGTGCATTTTAGCAGCAAATCTGTGCTCACGTATTCTGTAGGACAAACTTCCTGCAGTCTCTTCCAAGGAGTTCTTGATTTTGCATATGACATTTGACCTATCTGACCCTTTTTTCTCACAATTTTGGTCGAGTTTTTCGCAGCGATGGTCGTTTGACGGGTCACTGCTAGATGATGCTATAATAAAATCTAAAGAAATGCTAGTTTGACATGCTAACGAATTTGGTCGGCTACAAGAAGAATGGCCATATTGTGAAGCCAGGTTACCGCAAATGTATTGAGCGTCTGACAAGCGAAGCGTGTACCGTACAACTGAGGAGCTTCTTTAACGAATAAAATGAAGTGAACACCTGTCAAGTATTTACTGTGGAAGCGAGTTGAGTGATCTGACGCAGCCAAGCAAGTTAAAAAAACGGATAGATCGATAGACGGACGACACTGCGTATAGAGTTAACGGGTCATCTTCCGTTTGCTAGGTCACATACCAAATACCAAATAAGCTGTTGAAGTAATTCACAGGTTCTCCGTTACTTGTTGCTGTCTACGGATAAGCTAGCCTGTGTCACGTGACAAGCAAAACACATGTTTCTGCTGCGCCATTCGATAGGAGGTGTGCACATCAGAGCGTGTGCTATGGAAGAGTTATGCTCATAAGACGAGATGCGCAAGACTACCCTGAAACCGAAAGTGATGGGAATGACCATTGCCAGGATTGTGCACAAGACAGATACCGATAAGGCGAAGGAGAAGTAATCTATTAGAGTCAGCAAGTGGTTATTAGTGAAGAAGAATTGACAACGCACTTCATTCTGATCGGGGCTCATCCGATGGATGTAACACAATTGATCGCTTCGACCTTTTGACCGTTGTCATGGCGGATCCAGTTACATCCATCCGGTGAGTGCCAACAAAAAACAGAGTGGAGTGCTTTTTAGGACCAACCATACCCTAACGCCAGTCACCGCCTTCGAAATCTCATAACTTTGCCACTTGGACTGTGCAGAGTTAGAATTAACGAACAACTGCTTTTAAACTCACAAGTTCCCTAACTGTTACCATGCGAGCCGGATTTTTAGTTGTTCGGACATTTCGAATTCATCGAATGTTTAATGGTCTTACCAAGGAATCTGTGAATCAACGATACTACTCGCAGAAGCTGCAAAAAAAGCCAGCTAGTTGATTCACTACTGGCCGTTGGTTCGTTCGCTGAGCTGGTCGTATTGGCTGCAGTCAACAACAGTCGAGGTGAAGTCGATGATCGATCAAGGTTGACCAGGGCGAATTGACCCTATATCAATCCATGTATGCGCAACAACCATGCACCCCTAACCTCAACGCAGTCCTACACAACACACTGACGATGTCACGTCAACTGGTGATGAAACGTTTGCAACCGGATTGCCTAACTCAGCGAACAAAACCAAAAGCTATCATAAAAACCTGAGCTACCAATACTCTGTGCAACTGATTCATCTATTGCAGTGCAGTGGGGAAACACTGTGGCTTAGTCCGACTCCTGGAACTTAAATCTGAACCTTGCTTGACTTGATATTAACATACCATAATGTGGAATTATAAGATATCTGAAAATGGGATCAGCTGAACTGACCTGTGTTTTGGCCAACTTCGACGACCTTCATCACGCAACAAATGAGTGCTGAAAATTGAAAAAAAATCAATTGGATCGATGTTCATAATAGAGACAATTAGAAAGCAAAATAATGGTAAAAAGTAACAGAAACTACTGCGCACTAACTAGTTGAAGATGAGTGTGCAGAGAAGCTACCATGGCAGCAGAATTCCTCATTATGGATATTTTCAGGCCGTCTTGTTATAGCACGACATTCCACACAATCACGGAGAATAGACCGGAGTCAGAACTGCATCGAAAACAACTGCGGCCCGTACTGCATTGGCTTCTATAGTACGGCTTTGTATGTCTATCCCGAGACAGCCTATTCGTCTCCGAAAAATTTAACCCCGCTCTAGTCTTATTCAAGTAGGAGTACTGTATATCTGTGCTTTTCTGGATAACATTGGTCTCACGGATGTGCGATGGATGTTGGATGACCTGGAGATGTCATGATCATCATCACTGTCAGCTAGAACCGCGTCTTGTCGTACAGTGGTTGTAGCTTGCCACAGTTCGTTCACCGATGATTTGGGGAAGTGGGGTAGATAGCTGCGCATTGGAGGCGGGAGCTGATAAATTCGTGCGTAAATACAACAGTCAGTGAACTGTCAGTTGGGGGAATTGGGAAGGGAGCTATGCATTGAGGGCAATAGCTAGGATGCACGGACGCCACTGAGGGCACGACTGGGTCATGTATGACAATGTCTGCGTGCTCTATTTGAAGATAGGGATAACTACAGGTACCTTCCCTTCGTTCAATATAGCACGAATAAGCTTTGTCAGATGGGTCACCAAGGATTCTCCGCCTTCTTTGAAGAGGGCTGGATACAGACCGTCCGGTCCTGGTGCCTTCTGACGTTTCAGTAGAGTTTCTCGTTCTTTATTTGTTCTTCCGACGGACGATCAAGGTTCACGTTCCATTCACCCGTATGAGCTATCTCCACAGGCTGTTGCAAGAGGCCAGCTAAACTGTTCCTCGAAGTGATCGGCCCATTTTTTCCAGTCGACGTGAATTAATGAGCCATCTTGTTCACTTCATCCACATTCTCACTGTCACCACAGTAGTGGTTTACTGTGGAGGGTTGTTTGGCTAGCTCATGCCGAGAATGTAGAGCTATGACAGTTCATCGAAGATGACGGACTGACATGATTCTTGCTGATTTGCGATGGCCTGAAGGGAAGCGAACTGTCCGGCGTGCAAGCACCACGGCGTGATCGGAATGAAGTGGCGTGCCCCAGATGGAACGGCAGTCATGAATGGTGGCCCTCCACCGGTGGCTGATGGCCATGTGGTCTAACTGGGTCCAACGGTGATTTGAGGTTGGTGGCCCCCAGTTTAGGCGGACAACGGAGATCGGCTCCTTTAATTGCGTTCTGATTAGCATCAGACGGATCGTCCAAAATGAATTTGAGTAGACATTTTTGGTTTGTCTCACGTTATGGATCCAAAGCTTCTTAAGCGCCACGCGAGGTGCGCGCGTACTGCACGCTCCCAAAAACGCAGACATAAGTAGCAACAAAGAAGCACGTGATCAAAATCCACATGGACGTTCCAGAACGAGCTGATGGCAATGTGGACACCTGCGCTGCAGGTGGCACCACTTGCCCAAGCCGTTTCGCCTGTTTCGGAAATCAGTACGGCACAAAAACAGCTCACGATCGGCATGTGACCGTATTTGTGAAACTCATTACTGTACGTTGACTGGGCTACTGCCAGGGCAACTAGGCCTACATAGGAGGACCAATGATGTCCTCAATCCAAGCCTTCGGCTCAAAAAACCTAACCGTAAGGCGGACGTAAGACTGTCAATTTTTCGATATTTATCGTGCTCCAATTCATAACAAATGTGCACTCATGCAGTTCAGCAAACCAGAAGAGTGAAAAACAACCAACTTGTTAGTCACAACTACAATCGTGGCTATTTCTCTGCTTCAAAAGAAATGTCATTGGGATTTGATGAGACCTTCTATCATGATGGTATTTAAGACTAGGCTTATTGCTGATTTCCAAGCAAATTCGTATTTCCCATCAGCCTTTCTAAACTTTACCTAGTTTAGAAACGAAACATAAACTCGATTGTTATTTTAGGCTGCCGGATATCTGCAATGTTCAATTATATATAGATAAATAGTAGCAAAATTGGAATAATGGCTGGTGCAAGGCGACTGAATGATAAGCACGAACCCATTAAATCCGTCAGTGCTCAAAGAAGAATCGTTATCGAAATCGAATGCCATCGGGTCGTGAACGTGGACTCCGCTGTCATCGGTCTGAAAGCGGTAGAAAAAATATTGGGAAATAATGCCGTACTAAATGCCGTACTACAAGGTGTTGATTTTAATTTTGTAAACTCCCAAAAAGATAGCCAAAATGCAGGCATTAGACACGAATACAACCAGCCTCCCATACAAGGATGGTGGGGTATCAAAACAATGGAACATTTTGCCCCGTTTGGCGCGGTTCCGTTAAGTTAACCCTTAGCCACCATGTGTATTCGCAGTAAATTCTGTCGCTTGAGTGTTATGCGACCGTGAGGAGAGGTTGAGTAATCGGCTGAAAAAGCGCTATGATGTTGAGGTAGTAAAAAGTACTTAATTCTTTTGACAGTACTAATGATGGCAATCACGCCACATGTTCCCTGTGTTCGTCAGACCTGGCATGAGAGACTGCGAGTGTGGCGCGTACACCCCACAGTAAAGCTCAGTGGGTCACCGAGGTACCCAAACCGCCACATCACAGTAAGGTCGGCTCTTCTTGACGGATCTCAACTCGACTGGGGGTATGGCAATACATGGCACAAAGAATATTTAAAAACATCAAGGGCATCTCCCTCTGTCCAAAAAAAATCAAGAGTCAATCTAGGTTCTTTCAAGTCGATGTTGTTGGCCGCTGGTAGATGCAGTGCTGCACAGGCACTTGATGTTACGTAAAGATATGGCCGATGCAACCAAGTGGAAATCATGTTTGGTGCCCTCGAACTTGGCTTCGCTGTCCGCAGATAGGCATCGTAATACAAGGGAAGTTACCAGTCACGCTGAGACAGACGTGGAACCTAAACTCCTATGGCTGGAACACTCCATTCGATTATCTTTTATGAACACGACCGCCAACTGACCCCAATTCTCTAGAACAAGTTTAGGTTCCTAACTACCTACATCATCAGTGTTTGCAGTGGTGCCTAACTGTCGTAAAACCATTAAGTTTATTGAATCATTTCCGAAGCCTTGAGGCGAAAAGATGAAAGAGTGAGGACGGAGGGACCAGATGTTGACCTATCGCTACAATCCTGGTACTGATACATTTCCGAGCGCTTTAACTATCTGGAGACAAACCTTGATCATAAATTACCAAATCTCACACTACCATTTGCCTTGAGAAGATTGACAGTATGGCATTGGTTGGCCGCCATCTCTCGCAATGTCTCAAACCAAACGCAGAGAAGTCACGGGGACCCTGGAAGTGCACCACATCAACACCTAATCTGTCCGTAATCTCTCACACCCGTCTTCCATTCCACGTGTTGTCCACCTCGCAGTTTGCGCTACTCGAAAAGAGGAAAGAACGTTGCTCATCTCGATACACGAGATTTCGGCATGCGTAGCACATGACCGAGCCACAGAGCAACAGTTCCTTGGGGCAAGAAAGGAACACGATGGAGCACTTTATTTTTCAACCACGGCCATTTTTACCGAAGTGGAGATTCGGATAGAAGAGTCAACCATTTAAGGGCTTTCAGTTGGGCAAAAAAAGCCTCAACTAGGGAAATTAAAGGCTGCGCCAAAATCGACGCAAGTAGCTGCAGGATAACTTTTCTGTAGCACCGAGACAGGAAAGGTGCCGTAAGCTGAACATATGTACTTGGACCTCGTACTTCCGTTTCGGAGATGCAGCGGACGTCACCTGACAGAAAATCTGGAGAGCAGCTAATTTGCCGACCTAACAAAGGTTTCGCAAATCAATGGATGGAACAGCAGAACGAGGCCTAAATAGCACATACAGTGGTAGATACGACAAGCGATGTGCAGTGCATTAGCTGACTAGGCGACTGACTGACGCGTCCACGGCTGAGATCTACATACAAGCAATTATGAAGTGTGACAAGGACGTCAGAGATGGCAATGAAAAAGGAAGGCATCAGCAGGCACATGTTTCCGTCTATCCGCTCAGCCATATGCAGCAAATAAGACCCGATGTGGTATGAAGACACTTTTATTTTGGAAAATCTTGGTCGTATATGGGTTGAGGTACTACCGGGGCGTCCATATCTAGACAGCAAGATCATTTAGGTCACCAGCCAGAGCATCTGGCACAAAAGGCTGACAGTAAGGCAACGGCGTTCGGCGTGAGACTACTTGGGTAGCTGGAAGTTCGAGGAAAAATTACCACACCTGTTCCAACCTCCAACCTGGAAGCCAAGGAGAGTGTCAGGCCCTGCCCATTGACTAACCTGGTTTGAATAAGTCCATGGATGTTGCGTGAGCATCTCTCAGATGTTTGCTCTCAGCCATATGTAAGCGTTCGACAATTTAAGGTTTTCGAGAACATAATATTTCCAATTATCATTGGATCACATTACCTGCGTTCTGTTTACCTTCCAAAAAGTGACATTTCTCTTAACTACATTCCAGCACATGCTAGAAATTTCATTGAAAGTCGGTGGCAGAAGCGTCCTCGCAATTTCAGTAATGTTGAGCTAACCACGTAGTACTCTGTACACTTTCCATTAGTAAGTAATGACCACCAGGTTTGACAATTCATTGACCAGTTCAGACGTCTTATTGAAGAAAAACGATACCCATGTACATAAGAGATATCCGAATGCACCACTTAGCGCATCAGCTGGGCTAGGATAATCGCTTCGGCTGTGAGTAAGCTACTTTTAAAGGATATCTGAGTGAGAAAAAGCGGCAGTGGTACTGCAATCATCATCGTCATTGATATAACTATCAGTAACGTGAGAAAAAACTGGCGGTTCACTATCGTTTAACCGTATCAATCCATCTGAAAGATGGAAGGAAAATAGACAGAGGGAGCTAGGGCTAATCTACTAGAGGCATCGGAGATACCTACACCACCAACACTAAGTCAGATAATGTGAATAAGAACTGACAGCATGAACGCCGCTGGCATCAGTTATCCGCCATATCATTCAACATCTACAGCCAGTGGACCTAAAGATGAGTTGTTGAGAATCCTACCAATAGTTGGTAAGTGATCTTGGGAAACAAAAAAAGCGTTTTGTAGCGGACTTTATCAAGTCCTCCTCGAATAAAACTGGGCTGGTACCCTTCTCGTTTGGAATGGAGTCACGGATAACGTCATCCATAGGTGCGATGGACAGCATCACCCGCAACGGCACGGAGAGAAGTAACAGTAGACAAGTAGACATAAAGGATGGTATTGGGGACAGTACGAAAACGTGGGAGAATCCACCGCTAGTTTTCTGAGTTTGAGAGATAATCCCATCCATTCGCGCAGCAGAAAACTTCCAATCCGAGTGATCAAGTCTAAACGTAACATGCACACGGAAAGTATAGCAATGAGGTTCACATGTCAAATTTGGTTGAAATCCTCCTCTGATTCACCGAAAATGTCCAGAGGGAAAGATCACGCTTGTGGCACGTAAAACAAAATATCACCCATGGAGCGGTGACATATGAAACCACATTGATGGTCTTCAAAATCACGCAGTTTTTAGGTCAAGAATTTCAGACTAAATGGAGCCAACAGAGACGACAGGCCGGTAGTTGCTGAAGTCATAGCGGGAAAGAAAAATAGCACAGGATGAGAACAGACGAAATGACTGGAGTAAGTTCGGGGGCACAGTTGAGGGACAAGAAAGAAGGGATACGATCTAAAAAAAAGGTGGTTTAGGAGTGTTAAATTCTGACAGGAAAGGGCGGCAATTAGTGCTATTGACCGGCAAAAAAGCACAGATAGAGAAAGATGAGCAAAAGTCAAAGGTTCGACCATGAAGTCCGTTTTCTAAAGGGTGCAGCTCAGGATAGCTTAGCGATTGAATTGGAAGGTCCGTGGTTCGAACCAAACCTCAACATATCGAGTGCTCCCGTCTAGGCTCGGACAACCTGACAGCCTCTAAGCCCTCGTGCTTCCCTCGGGTGTCATGGCAGCTAGGCACCAAAAGGGTGTTACAGACGAAATACTAAACTTCTAAAGAGAGGAATTTGAGCCTTCCAGATGCGTCATGTATGGAAAGGGAGGAAGAAAATATGTTGCGACCAACGAAGATTCGGAAATAGCCATCTCCAGGTGGAGATTTTAACAGCTGAGTTTAATGCTACGAATGTATTTTTGACTCCGTCTAGTACGGACGAGTAAGGAATACCTGCAGCAACGTGAAACGTTCGTGCCCAGGACAATGATATATCCCATGCCCGTACAGTCGGTTTTCCTTTTTATTACCCGCAAGCACGCATGGTTAAACCACTGGGATGATTGCCGTTATAGTTCGAAAAAATTTGGGAACAAATTGGCCCATATTGTCAGACGGGGCAAACCCAAGTGTTTTTGTAAAAACTGAGGGGTCTTTCGAAAAACGATACTACCGAGGGAAGCGCGTACCATTCTCCTCAGCAGAAGAGTACTGGCGGAATACGTGAGGTAAAGTAGGGTCTCTGGAAAGAGAGTGGGAGAAGTTTGTAAGGCATACTAAACGTAACCTTGTGACTGGGGCGTTAAAAATAAGTCGAAGTCACCGTTGCGATCAAGGGCTCGGGTGGGAAGTAAACAAACGCGTGGATTTAGTGACGGGAAAGAACTCTACCGTACAGTTAGCAGGATCCGTGTGGAAAGAAAACGACCGCCATTTGTTATTGCGGACGCTAAGGTAGCCGAGAATGCGAACTTCTACTGTGGGGTCGGGCTGAGATATCCACTTAGTTAACGTCCAGCAGTGAGGAAAGGGAAGACTGACCGCTGATTCATGTTCCGGCTCCAGTACCTAGTGACCAAACAAGGAACACAATAAGTTTATTGCGAACGAGCGAGTGAGTGCGCCAGCGACACTTACGAGGGACATCACGCCATGTGAATTTTACTTTCATCGATCCAAGCTATTGCTGGATTGATTGAATGCTTGATTGGTCTGGAAGCGTGCAGGCTTTCCGATTGAGATTTTGGTGAAGTTTTAGGGTTTCTGTAAGTTCCGAGCGTTCTGGGTTGCTTTCAGGAACCTGACCTTCCTGATACCACCCCCCTTTTGACCGTCAAACGTAAGAATTTCGACGCAGATCAAATTGAAAAGGTTCCATCAATCTTCTGCCGCGACCGGTACGGAGTCTCGGTTGTAGCAATGGATTCATCTTGGACGGTACTTGTGAAGCAGTGGCTATTAGTGGTGATCTAGGGAGGTCAAAGGTTTCAAGCAGCCGGTTGAGGTCTGCTAAATGTTCTTCCGCCCTTGGGATCGGGCAATGTCAGCCGCAGCTGATTAACATGTCGTTTCCATGTCAATGATTTCACCTAGACGCTGTAAATAACCTGACCGATTCTTTTGAGGACGATCCCAACAGTCCATCTTCGGTGCCCGAGGCGACAGTCCCTGACAAGCACACGGTTTCCATGTCTGAGCGTCGGCTTCCCTCCTGTCGATGTTGATGAACATAAGTTTTCGATCGGCAGTGTTGAAAGATGCAAGCGATCGATATAATCTATGCCTGGGAGATTGAGCTCACAAGCGACGGAAAAGCGTACAGTTCGGAGACTAGGTGGGTGATTTCACCAGATCCGCATAAGTTTTGATCGGCAGTGTTGAAAGATGCAAGCGATCGATATAATCTATGCCTGGGAGATTGAGCTCACAAGCGACGGAAAAGCGTACAGTTCGGAGACTAGGTGGGTGATTTCACCAGATCCGAAGAGTTGGGTCCCAGTTAAGAACCAAGCAGGTGATGCGAATGGTGAACCAAGTTAATGTTGCAATTCAATTTGTGGATGTCACAGTGAGCTTTCTAAATCGCACGAGAGGGGAAAGAGGTATCCTTGTGGTACGTGAAAGACCAGAAGCCCAACTCAGAGGTGGCGGTGACTCTAGAGACGTCAACGTGAGCTGTCTGCCACCGGTGTAGCTTGTTGGTGCCTTCCGGCGTATGTGGGACCGAACGGCTTCGTATTAATTTCACATGGACATGTATAGCCTCGCTATTGCGGCAGCAAGCTTCGCTTCCAACAACACACATTCTGCTTAGGCTCCTCAACTAATTGAGCGACCCGTAAGAGTCACCACGGCTTGGAAATCGAATCTGGGGTTTCCAACGTCTAAATAGTCGTCCCGACCATATCAGCCGTTCGCAATGTTCAATAGTTGGATTTCCGGAGCCCTCGTAGTGCATGAGCATTTGCTTTGATCCAAAGTGTAAACATTTCTCGGGTTCTGTCTTGTTGCATGTCACACACTAAAAGAAGAGAATGGGATGTACCGCAACACCGGGCTGTGAGTTGCTTCACACACCCACACAGCAGTGGTTCTCTTTGTGAATGACTTACGGAATGGACTATCGGGTGCAACCACATCGAAATTTGACGTAACCCATTGCGGTTGACGGACCATTCGGACAAGCATCTTCGGTAAAAATGCTGGCATGTGCAACTCCAAGTTGTCTACTCAGGAAGCACGAAAAACGCAATCCTCATTAAGCGTTTCAGCAAGCTGCTACCACAATAGTTGCCAGCCTCGAATCCGTGGGCTACAAAACGCCTCTCGCGGTGCTTGACCTTTTCCATCTGGGTATCGTCGGCTTCAAGCGGACCTAATTCTTACTTACGCCTGTTTGAACAAGGTTTGACCAAAAGGTTTTCAACGTTGACTCAGCGAACACAGACATGGTGAGAAGATTTTCAAGCTCAGAGCACACACATTCATTAGGCAAATTTTTCTCATTTCGGGTGGTAGCTGCGTCGAATAACCTTCCTCGGACGGTTGTCCACACAAGTCCTCGCGCTGACAACCTTAAGGGCAGCGCTACACCCTCTTCTCACCTGTGCCCTTCAGGTGAACGAAGCGGCCGAAAGGCGAGAACAAAACCGACCCGGGAAACTTGGGCGAAAGCCTCGATCCTGGGTATCAATCCGTGCAGTCACTGAACACGCCACTTACGATCCAGGGAGAAGTACTGGAAGTTGTGGAGCGTTTTACGTATCTTGGAAGGTGTATTAGTTCTGACTGTAGTGTGACAGATGAGGTGAATGCACGAATCTGCAAGGCTCGGGCCGCGTTTGCTAACTTGAGACACCTATGGCGTCAGAATGGTTTATCCCTGAATCTGAAGGGACGTGTGTATCAAGCTACAGTACGGGCTGTCATTGAAGAATGTGTCCAGCACCAGAAGCTGCGTTGGTTGGGACATGTGTTACGTATGCCGAACCATCGTTTGCCGAAGAGAGTGCTGATTTCCACGTCCAATTCAGAGTGGCGTAAACAGAGAGGTGGCCAACCCTTGACTTGGCAGAGGAGTATGAAGGAGATCACGAAACGCTTGGGTGCTGTCGGTGCTACTCGCCTTCCAGGATGGGGACCGCGTGATCCCTCACTGTGCCTGGTTGGAGACACTACCAGATATGGCTGCCAACCGATGTCAGTGGCGTTCTTGTTGTCAGTTTCTATCCAGATTGTCTGAGTGAATGCCTGGAGGTGTAGGCACCTCGGAATGATTGTGGTAAGCTAGCACTAAGTCCCTCCCCCGTCCACCTTTACTCTTTTCTTTACAATAAGGCTTTCAAATAAGTCATGGTTGTACGGGAGTGAAGCATCGGTGTTGAACACTGATGTCATGCTGCCAGTGATGATGATGAATCTTTGAAACAGCTAGAGATTGATACATTCTACTCCTGAACACATAAGTGGGTAGGGGGACAGACAGACAGCTGTCTAGGGCTTTCTATCAATGTAGCCTGAGAATTAACTGTGGAGCTTCATGACGCAAAAGAGACTTAAACTCGACGCTTTTTTCGCTTCACGAAGTTTAACCTGTAAAACTCATATGAAACACTTGGAAAGACCAAGCAGCCACGATTGATTGGACCAGCGTAAAATAGGCAATGTTAACCAGGCACAAATAAAAAGTCAGTTAGTTTAAGAACACACCAACCTTGTTTTCCATGCCGTCCGATAAACAGCGGGAATTTGAGGTCATAAAATCCGGGCCAGATGGCGCGTACGGCTCGTGACCATGATCACCCGATTCTTCTAAACCTGTAAGAAAACTGTAAAGCCAGTCACATAAAATCTAACCCAAATCCTCCTGAAATGCTCGTTTAAAATCCTGATAATGGATGATTCCGTCGTTCTCAGGATCCAAGATCAGCAGCAGCTGCTCCACGCCCTGTGAGTATGAGAGTAATTATTTCGTAGTTACAATGTATTACACATGGGGCAGTCGAAATTTTTCGACCTCTTTGATCTGATGACTGGTAAAATTCACTGAAAGTTGACACAAACTGGTCAACCGTGATGTAGCCCTTGTTTTCTGAATCCAACGCATTGAACACTGCTGCTAAGGATTCATCTGAGGCATCCATTACAATCCGCGTTGAACTAGTAACAAGAAGCGTCCACCTTTGAGGTTCAGGGGAAAGCCCGTGGGGGGAAAACCAATGACACAACGGCCTTCAGGGTACCTTAGTTCCGTTATTGTGACGATCGCAATGACATGGAAAAACACCGCACTACCATATCTCAAGGTCAGGTTACCTCCGAGGTGACTACCGAGGGATCACGTACAGTGTATCGGTGATTATCTCCCTCCTCGGTCCTCAATTCAACATGAGTAAGTGAAATCACGGTTTGACGCGCACGACTAAGCCTTTGCCATAGCTTTCCCGGTACGGTTTGTTCGTCTGATCCCGTTCAAGTTATAGGTGCGAGCAAAAGGGAGAGGCTCCGCTGTTTTTGTATTCAGCGCTGAATAGTAAGCTTGCCGACGAGGATACATGCAAAAAGCCATCCTTTAAAAGTTTAATCCAGCCTCTAGATGTGGTGTGAATAATCGTCGCAAGAAGCCCCTTTCACGCACCAACTTGAAATGCGAATATTTGTTGTCTCATAAAATTGTACGATTTGATCTTGAATATCTCCTTACCTTGTCCACGGAGAGTATTAGTTTGATCAACATCGGAAAACTCAGCCAAACCTGATTCAAACAAGATGATAGAAGATATCAGGTCCTCTTGGGGTATCCCATATTATTCGGACCATGTTCAGTTAATTAAAGTCGTTCAATTATGACGGGATTTAAAGCCCGCAGCTAGCTTCGTGGTAGCTCATTGGACACGCCCAGTATGGGTTTGATCCCTTTTGCACTTTAAGTGGGCAGTCTGGTTTGCTTATTCTAGAGAAGGTCTAACTTGGGCTCCATACAATATTTGAATGTCCATGTAGTCGATATGGGTGCATGTGTCTCGAATATTCCGAAGAAGGGCGAATGTTTTTGAACCAGCTTTTTAAGTTGAAGTAAATAGAAAACTTTGGAAGATGGGCAGATCCGTACGCTCTTTTTTGTATCTATCCTAGCAATATCCTATTATCCGCTCCTATGATCTACGACAAGGGCGTTCGCTAAGTCTCCTCCGAAGGACATATGGATGGGCTTTTCCTCATTCGGAGAAAGGTGTCATTCCAGTTTGGATCGAGTGCCAGTGTTGGATCTTCGATATTTTAAGCCGTAGACATATAATATGGAACGCATCCGCATTGCTGGTTACGTAGCTCAAACAGAGAAATGATCCCAACACGCAGCCTACAGGAAACCCAGTGGAAATTGTTGCGAAACAAGGGTAGGCCGACCCAACTTTCACCCGGAATGCTCTACTTGAAAGGGAAGCCTAAATCGGGCGCGATATTCTCCCTCAAATTTCATAGGACCTGAGTCTTTGAGGTGGTGAACAGGAGGAGCTCGGTATAATGTTTTTGAGATAATGAAGTGTCTGACGTTCCCAACGACTCCCTCGTCTTCGATCTGCGTTGAGCTACCCATAATCATCGGCATGTTCGCCACGCGTATTGAATGAATCGCGTTGTACATAGCGTATCCAGCTCCTATTTGTGCGGTAATTAAAATGGCTCGTTTTTTTATTTTGCTGCGAACTCCTTTGTTGTGCAAGTGGGGCTAATATACATGCGGCTCCCAGCAGATAAGCGGTCAAATGATTTGTTGGTTGGTGTGGAAGTTCCCTCTTTTCAATAGGAAACGGGGTTTTCTTCACCAGTAGGCCAACGAATCGGCTGAGATAACTGATCTGCCAACGTCTGCTTTAAGTTGGATTACTTTTGGATTTGACTGGATTCTTGGGCGGTGCCCGATGTACTTAAATGGTTGTGCAAGTGGGGCTAATATACATGCGGCTCCCAGCAGATAAGCGGTCAAATGATTTGTTGGTTGGTGTGGAAGTTCCCTCTTTTCAATAGGAAACGGGGTTTTCTTCACCAGTAGGCCAACGAATCGGCTGAGATAACTGATCTGCCAACGTCTGCTTTAAGTTGGATTACTTTTGGATTTGACTGGATTCTTGGGCGGTGCCCGATGTACTTAAATGGTGATTTTGTAATTCCTCGTGGGGCTTACTATTGGTGCCTCTGTTCACATGGTCGCTAGTTTGTTTCCGATTTGAAGCTGTTCTGCTGCTTACGAAATCCCGGTTCATCTTCCGCTTCACTATTTGAAGAATGCTTGGGCGACCATTTCCAGCCAAGGCGGACTTCTTTAGATAGACTCGTTCCTTCGGCTGAGCATTGTTTTCTCTGAGGCGTGCACCGCATCAGCTTTCCGAAGATCTGGTCATTAGGTGAAAGCAATATGCAAGAGTAAACGGGTAGCTTGAACATGGGTGTATTTCAGGTTAACGCAACCCCACCATTTCTTCTGCTTTTCTTTAATCAGCCCGGAAATCAGGGTAAATATGGAAAAATGAGCATCGTCAGTGCTTGAACCACGTGTTTGCAAATGAATTCATTGGGTGTTTCTCTAGGCCGCAGGCTTCTGAAAAGTTTTAGATAACGTCAAGATGCTGTTTAGGTTCTGTTTAGGCACGTTTCTTGAGGGCAGCGTGCTGAGAATGTCTACACCTCTTAGTAGACGAAATCCCTGACCAATAGTTTCCGAAGTTGCGTGCTTTGTAGGAGGGATCCTGGGTGTTTAAAATAGCATGGAACACTGCTTGGTAGCATTTTGAGAATGGTTTGCCAAGATTTTAGCGTAAATTACCAGTCTTCCAGCTCGACGGCGTCTTCTAAGACTTTTGGCATCAACTTTAGCTTGTCCTTATACATTATACGCAGAAATAATGATAACGTTTATATCCAACTTGTGGGCGGCATGCCGTCAGGCATGATCATAATGCTATAATCAAGGTAAAAGCATGACCAGTGGGATTTGTGGGTAGTAGAGATTGTGACTCACAAATAGCGGGCGTTGTCCGATGCGTATGCGGTCACGCCTCCACCAACACGGCCCAAATGCGGTGGGCGTCGACGTTGGGAGGAGGCAGTTGCGAGAGCTTTCCACATCTTTAAGGGAAGGTATTAAGCTGAAGCATGTTTAGGCAATAAAAGTTTAAACATGGCGGAGGAAAACATCGAGGAAGGACGAAATTAGAGAGTGGTTCCTAGTAGGAAAACCGCAAGTTTTCGAGGATGAGGACTCAGAACAACGGATCTGGTGGAGAGTTGCAAAGATACGACCGGTTAATTTGAATTATGATTTGAAACCACTGCTGAGGCTTGTGCCCGTTAGCGTTGGAGTCATTTTACAGGGCTACGAGAAGCATGGGAAGGATTAAATGGAGGAATTGGCAAAACAGAAAAATGGTAGTTTGAATCTCAGAATAACCTTGCAGCTGTAGAGATTCATTGTTATCGCTGTTGGAGCAGGGTCAGATATAAGCTTTCCATCAGGGATTGTGCCGGTTTTACCGGAAGGGACGGAACACTAAGTATAAAATTAATATGACTTCAGGGGTGGCACAAACTAAAGGTCCATCGGAAGAAAGTTTCAGCAAGTCAGAATGAACCTCTTTCAGAGGCAGTTGTGGACAAGTAAAGAATTTACTCATAGTTGCGAGTCAAGAAACGAGAGGGCTAATGGCATGATCTGGATTAGGAATAGAACATTTGCGGGTGTGCCATCAAACCACGCATGATTGTTTTAGTACCCTCCAGCGCTTCAATTTATTTCCAGCCCCGTAACGGACGTCACGTTTGAGGTGATTGGACTGGGATGAGCAGTTTTGTAGACTGCGGGGTTTCCGAATTGCGGCCATTGCATTCCACAGATGTATAATGAATTCGGTGCAAGATCACAGGTCCCCCCGATCCGGAACATTGTCAATTTAGATTTACTGGCAGATTCCTTTTTGAAAATTCAGAATGGTGAACCTTCTGGCGCGGTACTCTCCAGGGTAGATGTAGTTACCAGGCTTTCAGGGAACACTTATCTCTTGAGTGAAGTAGCCGTTGACAAGGTGTTCCGTGTTATCTGAGTCAATGACAGTGAGCAAGACCTCTGTCTGTCACAAAAATGAAAGGCCAACAGCCTAATCATTTGAGGGCGGGTGAATAAACTAACAGCTTCCTGAAGTCGGTACCCATAGGTTATATCTGATCGCTGCTCCCGTATCAGTACCTTGGTACCGCAAAAAGACTCGCTAAGAGTAAAACTACAGGTTTATTGTAACAGGCGAGTGTAAAACCTACAACGTCCCCGCGCTATTTAAATGGCGTGTTTGCTATTGATTTGCGCCATCTGCGCCTAGCGAACGCCGATCAGCAACAACCACGTTTTATGAAATGGCGTAGCACTTGTCATAGTCGATCGTGCTACTTTGGTGTGTCTGGAAACCCACCTGCATGTGCTGATTATACTGGTTGATTGACTGGCCGGGATATGCCCTGCGTCCCTATTTAAATTTTGTTGGACTTTTGGGGTGACGCTATAGTTGCACTATTGAACTGGATATGTAAGGCACGCTTTCATTTTGCCAGTTTTTGATGTCAGAATATAGGGATAAGTAGACCTATGTGACCGCATTCAAAACCGTTGGTGATGCGACTACGGCTAAGAATGTTGGTGGATGGCTTGTCTTGTAGATGAGACCAGTGCATGCTGATGAGCAGACAGCCACTGTTTCACCTTGATTGAGAATCAACGGCATCGCTCATCCAGCAAAACTCCATGGAGTTTCGACGAGTTTCCAAGTAGTGTGTTTAAATGCTTTGCCGTTCTGAAGTAGGGGGAATAAGAACCGGTGTAATTTTTCCATCACTTGCAAGAAAGCGTCATTCCTGGGCTTCAAAAAAGCACTGTAAACTATTTTGAATGGCATCTCGAAGAAAGACTTCCCAGGTGAGCTTAAAGCTCACTGCATTTTACTCCCCCTCTGAGTTACTTGAAGGTTGTTAAAAAGTGGGGAAATTTGAAAAAAATTGAAGTTGAAGGTGGAACGTTTTATTAAAACTTTCAAATTCCATTACACCCACAAAAATCGATAGGCAATCAAGAGCGCGTGAAAGATTCACATGATGAACA